GCTTATGCCTTTTATCTAAAAAAATAATCCATATAAAGACGAAAATCCAATTAATTTTCTTAACGTTTTTCTCTTGCTTCAAATTTACCTGCCATGTTTACATTCGGAACGGTGCGTCGATTTACCCAAAAGGACCCAAAAGGAACCCAAAAGGACCCAAAAGGAAATTAAGAACAACCCAAAAGGACTTGAAATAAAGAGAATAAATGGATATATAATAAATACTTTAATATTTTATTAAAACTAAAACTAGTTTTTTGAGGTGAAAGTGTCTGTTTGGGGTGGGGGTGGGAGCTAGGTCCCCACCGACCCCCCACCCCAATACCATATGCCTATAGAACATGTCATAAAAAACTTATTTCTTCACTTATTAAATATCATATAATAGATACGGTAAAACAGAAGAGAAATAAAATACATGTAATACTTTGTTAATTTCAACTGAAAGAAATCACAGCATATCTGACCATATTTAGTGTTTGATGTGCTATTCAACTCGTATGTTATTTCTTTAAGAAAAGTTGCAACAATATAAATGTATGTTTTTGCCAACTTTTATGTAAACTTATAATATAATATTCATAATTTAAGTCAAATTATTAATTTTCAGTGTATAATTATTTATTAATTTGAGTCCTTTGGTTTTCCTTTTGGGTTCTTTTGGGTAAATCGACGCACCCCATTCGGAACTCTCTAGATTGTTCGTAGTAATGCACTGAGTACGAGTTATCGCCCTTGTTTCTTTTGCTACATTACGAATACACGGAACGAATTCTATCGTTAAACCGGGTCCGTAGGACAATATCTAGTTAGAATAATCTAACTGTGTCTCGGTACAGGCCCTCACCACAGTTAGAATACGTCCCATATACTTGCAATGTAGCAAATCGGAGCGGATCCGCTCCGAAACGATTTTGAAGAATATAAAATGATTTGCACTGGGAATAACTACCAAAAAAATCAAAACAAACCTTTCTGAGATTGCTTATGCCTTTTATCCCATAAAATAATCCATATAAATACGAAAATCCAATTAATTTTCTCAACGTTTTTCTCTCGATTCAAATTACTACATTCGGAACTCTCTAGATTGTTCCTAGTAAATGCATTATGCGAGTTATCGCCCGTGTTTCTTTCTGCTACATTACGAATACACGGAACGAATTCTATCGTTAAACCGGGTCAGTAGGACAATATCATTTTAATGATAGAACATTCTATCTAGACAATATCATATTAACGATAGAACGTTTTATCTAAGCAAAGAGGTATCAAGTTAGCATAGTGAACAGGTTAGCTCATGGCTTGGTCAATCCACTGATTTCTTTTGACTTCAAAGATAAAATTGCTAAGTCAAGTCGACAAGTGAGTAGCATCAGTGAAAACTATACACCTAATACGGATTCAAAGGAATCCATATGTAATTTTCAGTAATGTTATTTGTATTTTCAAATATGATTACTTAATGATTACTTGTGTGTGACTTTAAATCCTGCAAGCCCACAAACTAACGCAACTTTCGTTTTCGATCTTATCAGATAAGAAAATTCGAACTGTGCTATAAATAAACATGAAGACACACTGAGGGAATCTATCAATCAGACATGTATACAAGAAAATAATTGTAGGATAAACAATATGTACATTGACGGTGTCTTTCTGAAGCTTTCAGAATAATCATTCAGTTGATGTGTGGTCTACAATGCATGCATGCATTTTCGTGCGTTTTCAAAATGAAAACTTCCGCCAAGTCTTCCGCAGAAAAAACACACCGTCTGCTTTTAAAAAATTAATGAAAAGCAGATGAGTAAAAATTTAAAAAGAAATTGTAAAAAGCAGTAGTAAAACCCATATTTTATTACTTAAAAAAAATTTAAATATAATTTTCTGAAATATATTTTGCCGCGGGCCTATCGTTCCAGCATGGCGGGTTTCCTGTCAAGGTGTATTGAAAAAATCAAGTCATGGATTCACTGGTCCTGGACGTACCTGTTAGCTGTTTGGGTTGTTTTGGTTGTGTTTGTTGTTTACATCCTCCGAGGCCCCTTGAAATTAAGTGAAAATTTTTCCTATGGTAAGAAACTGTTTGCATACACGATGCGTTTTGTGCATCTCTGAACATCTGTAATTTCAACGTCACAGGTTGCAGCTAGAAACACATGCATGCACAAAGCATGGACACGTTATGTGATTTTTTAGTTAGAGAGACCTTAGCATAGACTGAAGTAACGCTATGCACTGGTAAAGGTGACTGCATAACATAGACCAGTTCTGTCTGTTGATTATTCAGCAGTGTTTGAATAAAGAATAGTTTATAGACATAGCCTACTAGTTAGAATAATCTAGCTGTGTGTCGGGACAAGCCTTCCTCACTGTTAGAATACATCTCATATACTTGCAATATAGCAGATTGGACAGTGCTCCAAGTTGCGACTAAAATGGTCGCATTTGCAACCAAAAAATTGATTTTGCGACTAAAAATGAAAACACACTCGCATTTTTGCGACTGAGAAAATTTGGGCTGGAAATGTCCATTTTTAAGATCGGGATCGAGATTTTATTTGTAAAGATTCTCTATCAAGAAAATGTTTGAAGACATATACTTAAATACACTTTACAAAGCGTCACATGGATTTAGATCACGTAATGTTATGGCAGTATGCTGTACTGTGTACAAAGTTTGATAGAACCAGAGACGTGTATAAATAATGTTCCTGATAGAATGGCATCCAAACTTCATAAACTTTCTAAGATCCGACCTTGTTATTGAAGCATTTGGTCAATTGCTTGCATATCACAATGAATCATGCTAATAAAGAGTGTTTTGGCGGCATTTATAATGACTGTGTAATGGTTTAGGTACGTAGTACTAGTAGTAATTAAACATGACAAACAGCAGGCAAAGTCCTGTCTCAACAGCTGTCAAGCTTGTATTTTCATTTGATAAAATTTTATTTCTGTACTCAGATTACTTGTGTTCTTCTGTACAACCATAAGGGTACATGTATTCATTAAAAATATTTCATTCAACCAAGCAAATTTTTATAGTCACAGTACTAAGTAATCTTTGATATAATAAAGACATAATAGATATCCTTATTTAAATTATCAAGTTTTATTCACAAAATGTATTTTTTTTATGGCGAGTGAAATATTTGATTTTATTATACTTTCATGTTAAATACTAAAATCTGATTGGTATAGACGCAGTTAACAATCTGTTCTATTACCCTCAGCCTTAGCAACACACGTGACAACGGGTAACACAACGGTAATGCCCACATGCGTGGAAATTATGCGCGTACGGTTCACCGTAGAATTCTCAAAACGTCAGTTGCGCGTTTGAAAGAACCGGAATAAACTTGACGTCAATAAAAGCTTGCGTCTGATGTAGCTTACTTGAAAACAACAAACGACAGACGAAACATGCTTGCGAGTGCAGAAATAACGAAACTTTAGATGATAAAGGACTCGTAGAGTATCAAATAAACAATAAAGAGGTCAGTAAATCTTTTTCGAAGTAGCGGGGAGTTTGAAAGCTTTCTAAACGTGAACGAAAAGGCGATCAACGATTTGTATTGCTGATCGACATAATAAATCAAGAAGACATTCAGTATAATAAAATAAATGGTGCCTGTTTTGGAGGGTAACAGTTGAAATTGACATCCCTCGGAAAACCATTGTCAAGCTCCGCTGATGCGTCGGTTGACAATGGTTTTCCTTGGGGTGTCAATTTCAACTGTTACCCTCCAAAACAGGCACCATTTATATAATGGCAACCAGAAATTCTGAAATGGCGACCAAAAAAAATTTTAGGTCGCCATTTTGCCACGTAAGAGCAAGTGTGACTTGGAGCACTGTTGGAGCTGATCTGCTCCGAAGTGATTTTAAAGAATATTACAGAAGGGGTTGGGCTGGAAATAACTACCAAATTATTCAAAACAAACCCTTTTTGAGATTGTATAAGCCCTTTATCCCAAAAATAATCTATATGAAGACGAAACTTCAACTAATTTTCTCAACAGTTTTTCTCGCTTCAAATTTACCTGCCATGTTTACATTCGGAACTCTTTGGATTGTTTGTTAGGAAATGCACGGAGTACGAGTTATCGCCCAAGTTTCATTTGCTACATTACAAACACATGTTCAGTGAAAACTATTGTTAAACCGGGTCCGTAGGACAATTATCATTTGAACGATAGTATGTTGTCGTTCTATCTAATAGCCTTACATTAACTTCTCTTTGCAGACCTTCATGTTTGTATTTTGGAAGTTATGTATTACTAATTAAGATTAGATCTGTTACAATGTTTATTGCTCCTATATTTTGTTACCTTACAGCGACAACAAAAAAGATCAGTGTAAAGGATCTAATTTTAATGATACTGGAATGCAAACAAGAAGGTTTGCAAAAAGGAAATTTTGATATAAGTATATTAATGTGCTTGTCCAATTCTTGAAAGAGAATATCGGTTATTCTAGAGATCTTTGTGTAAAGTGCACTCATGAACATAACTTTAGTGTTTGGCTTATAATCCTGAGGAATGTATCTATATAGAATGCTAATTGATAGAGCATTAAACTGTACATGTTTCCTCCAAACTACAATTAAACTGGTACTGATTTTTAAATTAGACTGTGTTAATCATGAACTAATGACAACTGTCTCTCGTTGAAACCTGTCAACAAAACAAATCTACAGCTGCATTAACACAGAAGTATTAGTGATCTTTTTCAGGTTCCGAGTTATTTATTATATAGACAAAATCTTTCGTTAAACATGTTGAAAAGCGGAGTAAGGAAGCTGGCTTAGAAGTATTAACTTGATTAAAGACCAATGAGGGGTTTAGTTTACTATGTGTATGTTGTTTGGGGAACATGGAAATGAAGTACTGTTAAAATTTTGACCAATTTTTCACTGGACAGTGAGATCAATACAGGTCGCTATAGTACAAATGGAAATCATTTTCATCAGATTATTGGACTAATCTTCAACTCAGAAGGGAGGTTGACTTTTGTAGTTTAATCATTACATTTACAGCAGTGAAATACTGACGCTGTGAAATTTTATTTATTGAATAAAAGTCATGTTATACTGCAATTGTCGAAGTGTGAAAGAATACAAAATACGCGGCAAAAATCAAAACTCAATTTGCTTCCCTTCACTGAGAGTGTTGTAAAAATACTCCCTGGCCTGTTACAAGATAAAGAAAAAAAGCTGTTCTCACAGAGACTAAAACTGTCAATGTTTCTCCAAATATGTTGTAGGAAGTCCATGTTTATATAATATGCTTTCTATCTCGCAATGGCTTAGCTATGACATCTCAATTTTGAAGGCCTTTTGAATCTGAAGGCTAATTGTTCAAGTTATGTGCAAGACAAACCATTAAAGTTATGACCAGGGTTAAAATTCTTTTTATGAGGGTCAAACTCAAATGTCAGGGTCAATATTTATATCCTTGAGAAAGGTCTTATCACAATGATTATGAATACATATGTGAAGTATGAAAGCCCTTCAGCACCAACTGTTCAAAAGTTATGGCCAAGGTTAAAGGTGGGTAAATTCTTGCAGATTTGGGTCAAACTCCAAGGTCAAGAGGTCAAACATGTTGGTACCTAAAAAAAGGCCTTGTCAGAAGGAATACATTACATGTGAGAGTCATAGTTCACACCAGTGGAGCATTAGGGCAATGTTAGAGTTTTTATGGACAAACAGATAAACAGACAGACAGGGGAAAAAACTATACACCCCCAAATCTTTAATAACAGAGGCATAAAAAAACAATTCAGAACAAGATGGTCATCACACATGGCATTGACAGGTGAACAATGACTGCAAGTGCTATATTATTTGTAAAGTCATCCTTATTCGTTGCTTAAATGAATGTTTACACCAAGATCAGAATAGTATTGTATTGTTATCAGCCTGGATAGCTCAGGGATTAGAGGTCATGATGAATGATATAGCAGACTTTGAGTTAGATTTCCAGTCCAGCCATACATCAGTATCTCATCTCCTGTTACACATTGGCATTTCATTCAATCAATAATATTATGTAACTGTGTTACTGTAATACTTTTTTTCATGTTTAAATATCATGTGAATGTAAATTTATGAGATGATGATTTGCAGAAATGTGTGCACTCATAACTGTTATAAACTGTCTTATTTGGTCTATAAACAAAATCCTTTTCCTCTCAAAGAGCAACACTCAACCTACCAAACTTAATTTTAATTATCACTCCCTAATCACAGACAGAAGAATATCCTATAATTATGAGTGTCAACACATCTTACAGATTTTCTGTTATTTCTAGCAGTTTTTAGGAGATAGTTGTTATCAATTTATCAGGAATCCCTAGGAATCAGGTCAATATTGTTCATACAGATCTCGGTTGATAAAAGATTTCAGACCTATATGGTCACAGATCTTCATATGTTTTAAGTTTTCTGTCAAACCAAACAGCTGATTCGATATGTTTCCACTTCACTTTGGTAGGTGCATTGTACAGATGAAGTTTTGATGATTCTAAAACCATTTATGATGAAGAAAAGAGAAACTTGTAGCTATTATAGATATGTTTCAATTTTTATCGATTGATGGTACTTATATTGGTAAATTTCTTTTAATATAGATAGAGACCAAGTGTCTTTAAACTAAAAACAATGCTAGAAATAGCATGTTCTCTTCATTTTCAAAGGACCTGTTCTCTGAGGGGACTAAGGTGCCACCTTTTCACCTGTATGTCCCTCGGACGGTCTAGCTGTCCCACTTGGTTTTCCCCATTTTTTTCTACTTGATTATACAGCTTTTGAGTAACTTTTTTGTTTGGCAGTCTATCTCAATGAGTTTCCTGTTTCATTTGCATACTGCAGCAATTATATTTTCAAGTGAGAATTTAAGATTACACTTGCTGGAAAGGGTATGCAAAACTCTCATAAATTCTTAGTTCTTATGTAAGATCTGTTATCCTTGCATATAGGTGATGCATAATTATGCATTAGAAGACTGCCATAACAATTTCAGATTTCAGGTTTGAGCTTAGTCCCCCCCCCCCTTTCCACTTTTTCCC